GTTGAGCAGCAACTGTTCCAGTTGGGTCTGAGCTCCTTGTATCTGATGCTGGCTATACATCTCTGACTGTGCTCGTACTGGATGAGGCTGCCTGTACTTCACCTGGTTCTGTGTGACTAGCTAAGGACGTTTGTACTGGGTCTGTGATAATACTGGCTGAGGCTGGATGTGAATTAACTTTGCTTGCGCTGGCTGACAATCCAGTATCTACTTTACTGACAAACTCAAATATAGCCCCTATAGATAACAATACTTGCTAGAGATTAATGTTATCAGCTGCATCAGGACCATTTAAACCGGCTCCCCCAGGTTTCCTTTAATCATTTTCAAATGTAAAATATTACTTATACTATAACTTGACTAAATAAAAACACTGCTTTAACCAATCCGCTAGTAAAGTAATAAATAGTTGCAGGCTATTTTATTGTAACATTGGTCAGGCAAAAAGAGAGACTCACTGCAAGCTAGCACTAACTTAAAGTTATTGTTATTTACTGACATCAGACTTTGAGAGGAGAGGATTCAGCAAATTTCCAATCTCTGCAAACAGATTTTTACACAGGTCAATAACCTGACAGTATACAGTTTGTATGAATACACAATGTGAGAGTAAATAATACAATCAACTTTTCCGTTAGGATTAAATAAAAAAAGTTGTTTTAACTTTACCTAAGATCAGTGCCATGTATCCATCTCCGCGTCCAAGAAAATGTCAGCGCGCCTCACAAGTGTGTGCACCTTTTTTGTCATTTACGGCAACCGTTAGTCGTTCGGTATGACTGCCTGTCGATAATCACTACAAATTATACCTTCAGTTTTTATCATAAAGCACCTATTTTTAGTGCAAAATTCACCAATTTCAAAAAATAACGAAATACCCCGCAAAACAACAAACATACTTAGACGTATATCAAAAACAGAGCTAAACCGATGACGTGTATGTAGGGGTCCTTCGGACTTCCGGGTGTGTATAAACAGGTCGCAAACGGAGTTGCCTCTCTCTAAAGATGTGAGTTTATGCCCTTTTTTGTGTAATTTGTTCTTGGGTAAATTCACATTACTTAGCCAGCATTAAGGTGCCAGTAACGCTGATTTCATCCTCTTCATTAGGTCTAAAGTAACGTTTAAAATCACCCTGACGTCGGATCCCCGGCTGCCATACAAAGTGTGAGTACCGGTGATACACTGACAGCTCAGCAGTCACAGCTTTAACGTTACATCCAAGAACATTTCAGTTTTTTTAACCGTTTATTTAATATTTTATCTTACCATTACTGTATTGTTCTATATTTGATGCTGTTGTGCAAAGTTGTGCTGATATTTAACTACATAAAATGTGGTCAGTGAGAACATCTGTTAGTGTAAAGCTGTGATTCACATGTTGACACTGAACAGCTACACCGGCTAGTCACGATAAACTTCCGTTTTAGACATGTATAACAGGGCTAACATTACAATATTTTGTGAGTTACATTATAAATGAAATGGACCTGACAGGCTGGTCTTACAGAGTGTTATCAATGGAAATTATATCACATTGTCATAGTGCTCATTTAAAACAGTGCTCTCAAATTTTATAAAAAGTGTGATAACTCGTGTTAGAGGAGGAGCCACTCAAATATTTGCAGCAGTGGCCCCTCTCCAGCCAATGCTCATCAAATCAAGATTTTACTAGCAGTTCAATTTTACCTATAGTTCATAATTAACCCGAACAAACAGAAAGTTTAACAATAGGTAAATCTGATAAAAGAGTGTGTGTGTGTGTGTATGTGTGTGTGTGTGTGTGTATATATATATATATATATATATATATATATATATATATATATATATATATATATATATATATATATATATATATATATATATATATATATACACACACACACATGTATGTGTATATATATGTATATGTATGTACGTATGTATTTATATATGTATATATATATATATATATATATATACACACACACATGTATGTGTATATATATGTATATGTATGTACGTATGTATTATATATGTATGTATATCTATATATGTATGTATATACTTGTATTTCAAAAATACAAATGTATCAAACTAAAAAGAAATTTGGCCCCAAATGAGCCCACTGAGCAGCAGTGTTGTACACATAGGCCTACAGTAGGATGGCAGAACTTGCCCTATTGATGTATGCCAAGCTGTGTGTGTGAGTAGGTTACACATTTCAGCTTATGAATGGTGTTTGTGTTGTAATTGTTAGTTGCACATTGATGACGTGAAGAGGTAGGGAGCTCTGTGGCTCAAGGCCAGCCATTTTCACCATCATGATGGATGCTAGCTTACCGTCCAAAGCCAAAATATAGAAAAACATCTCTAGTCCTTTCCTTAGTTTCAGATAGCCAAAGCTAAGCCCAGTGGTGGACACTAACAAAGTAGTACTGTATTTAAGTATTACAATGTATGAGTATTTTCTTTTCATGCCACTTTCTACTTCGACTTCCCCACATCTCAAAGGGAAATATTGTACTTTTTACTTTATCTGACAGCTTCAGTTACTAGTTACTTTAAAAAATAAGCTTTTTACACACAAAATGTATGAAGGATTTGGTTCCAGCTTTACAAATGTGTAGATTTGCTGCTTTTACTTGATTATTTTAATGTAATTATATTTATTTTGAGGTTTCGACTGAGAAAACAAGCATTGTGAAGGTGTCACAATTTATTAAAATCAATTAATGGAGAAAATAATAAAATAAAATACTCATTAATTGCAGTCTGATACTAAATAGTTAAACCTCAACCAACTACATTAATGCATGATGAATAATAATCTAAATATATAAGAGTATAACCGTCATATGGGACATTTTTCTTTCTGCTTTGAATAGGCTACTTAAATTTTTGATTGGCTACTTCTACATTTTCCTGCTTATAGCCTACATACATAGTTTTACTTAACTTTTTCAATACAGTAGGCCTACTTGCAGAGTATTTTTACAGTGAGGTATTGGTACTTTTATTTTTTTAAAGGATCTGAATAGGCCTATGTTACTTTGCTCACAACTGGCTAAAAAAGCCAAAGCTTCTGAGGTTGGAAAGTTTTTGACTGCATTAATAATAATTTAGCGTGCGTTTGGCTACACTCTGCAGCATCAGCTGCTCTCACTCTTTGATCACAGGCAAGTGATATAGTCCAGGAATCGTAAAATGTCCTCTATCCTCTATCTTTCATGTTTTCCATTTGTGTCAATTTGAGTCAGTTTGACAGCCTGAATACAACCTTCAAATGTATAATGCAACTGCAAAAGCGTCTGCTTCTTTGTGAGATTGCTTTTTCCAACAAATTTGACAATATTTCTCTGGGGAGTGCAGTAATAGACAGTGGCAGCGCCAACAGTTTGTTGGACTTAGCAACAGTAACTAAGGGGGGCGGGGCTTAGCGAACAACGAATTTTAATTTCTGATCGGCTTACCGGCTCTGGCATTTAGTAGGCTACACAGAAAGCTATGAACTCGGCACAAAATGTCCATTAATCCAATCCATTAATTGCGGGACAACTTAGAGGACGTTATCTCTTAACTTAGCGTGAGAAATACAAGGTGTGGCATGTGAGCGTGTGAACTGGCTAAAATGTGTGTGTCTCGTCTCACGATGAATGCATGACACTTGAGAGCCCTGCATTTACCTAGGTGATAACTTTGAGTCTTGTGACAGCCATAAAAATAACTAATACAAACCAGCATCACTATAGGTAGGTCTCCTCTGAGCAGGCATGGCTAAATGTACAGTGGACATTGTAGAATTACACTTCTAGACAGACTGCGGGCAGTAGTCTACATTATTTCTGGTGTAGGTGACAAGTTATGGCTGCGACATTCATTTGGCGCCATCAGACTGGAGCTAAAAACACAGGCAGCAATAAGATTAATGGAGGGTCATCCTCTGTGTAGAGGACCCATAATTTCTAGGTGAGCCTGCCGCTGTTTGCACAGCTTAATCCATGTGTGATGTGTTTTGTCAAAGTCAAGCACAGGCCTGTTTTAAGACAGTAGAAAATACTTTAAATAATCAAGAAGTGTTTTTTTTCCACACACACACACACAAAATGATGTTTCCTGCTTGACAGTTATGTCAATTCTTAGGGTATGTAGATGCTTCAAGATGGTCAAACTCTGAATTGATTGGTATTTTTTCCAGTTACCTTAAAATAAAATTATACATTGATTGCTTTAGTTCTATTCCTGTCACAGATTAAGTAATTTACTTCTAAGTGCATAGAAAAAGTGCTTAATAGTTGATTCACTACAATTTAATGCTAGTAAAAGCAGTGTGGATATTATTCTAGGAAATGGAGTGCTGAAGCGCTAACCTTTGCAGTATTAAAGAGGTCATATAATGCCTTTTTCCATCTCCTTTATTGGGTTTATATCTTTTTGTGTGTATGCAATAGGTTTGCAAAGTGATAAAGCCCAAAGTCCACCCTAAAGGGAGTTCCCATCTCCCACAGAAAACTCTGCTCTGAACTGCCTGAGAACAGCTTGTTTGTAGTCCAGCCGTTTCCCTTTCGTCCCTGTGACGATGAATGGGATGAAAGCAAAATGCGCGTCATATAACGCTCGCCAAGCGGCTAGTCCGACATGCCATCAAAAAAAAACGGTGGAAAAACACTGAGCTGCAGCACACACCTCTCCTCTCCCTTCCAAACATTAGCTACCCTTCAGGCAGTTGAAAGACATGAAGTTGTTACTGTGATGTAGAGACAGAGGTCAGTTAAAACGTCACGGATGAAAGATACATTTGTTACAGATTAATAACTCACCAGTCTGAAACTCTTGCTCCAGTCCATGTTGCTAAGCTGGTAAGAGGATATACAGCTGAAACGAAGCCGTGTTTACCGACTTCTCACAACCCGCCCTTCTCTGCTTCTGATTGTCTAGTAGTCTTAACTAGGAACTGCACATGTGCAACTCCCAACAAAGATCATGTAGAGGCAACATGTATCACTCCATAGCTAAAA